CTGTGCCTTTCTGAGAAGTCACCCAGCGTGCCCCCTCAGTGCCAGCCGCGCCTCGGCGTCTCCTCCAGGCTGTCGCTCTCTGCGCAGAAGTGCTGACTGAGGGATGGGGGCAGCGAGAAGAGGAACAGGTTACGTCTCCCTCGAGGTTCTTTATTTCAGCTGCTTTTGCAGCAAGGCTGTGCGCTGCTTGGCTCCTGCAGCCAAGTGTGCGCGTTTCCCGCAGGCTGCTTGCTAAGGGAGCTTTCTAAGTGAAAGCTAAAATCTTCAAAAGTAGTGGCAATCATCTCTTTCTGTCTCTCAGGGCACTCAAAACTAAAAACAACTTTGGATAAGGTAGCTGCGAACCACAGCGGTTACCAACCCTGTTGTAGTCACAGGGGTTCAGCCTTCCAGATGGGCTCAGTGTTACCACAGCAGTTGTGTAAGCTCTTGCAGAGAGTCTAGTGCACTCTCTTGGCTGGTTGGGCTGAAGGAGGAATTGTTTGCTTTGGACGGAAGGACGGTCGTACTGGGAACAGGAACGCTGGTCTGGGTTCTGCGAGGAAACCCCATGTTCCGGGTGTTAGTACTGAGAGCATGTACTGTGAGTACTGGTTATCACCCAGCTGAGCGCAAGGAGGAATAAGCCAGAGCCGATTCCCTTCCTTCCCGCAGGAGAACTCAGGGGAGGGCAATTATTCCACTTTCCCGTCGTCTTACTCCCTTTGTGGAGCACGTTTTATAGGAGCGTGAAAGAAAGCAGTAGAGTTAGCTCTCACGTTGTGGATGCTTCGTGCATCTGCCGTGCTCAGAGGAGGAACGCTACCGGGGACTTCCTGTAGCAAAGCCCTGTGTGTGCTAGGACCACTTCTGAGCTGGAGCCACCTGCTCTGCTGTCCTGCAGACACCCACTTCCCTTATCCTCTTCCAGAGCTAAACAGGCTGCAGCACAAGTTGTTCACACAAAGGGGACCAGGATGGGGGGGGGGGTCTGGCTCTGCTTCTCTTCCTGAGGAAACATCAGTGAAAGCAGGGTGGAAATCCGTGTCGCAAAGCTTCGATTGCACAGCTGAAAAGGCTTTTTCCATAGTGTCTGTCACTCAGGGCTGGGTACTGCTCTCCTTTTTGTCTGGCATAAAGCTGTAGTAATGGTGCTGTGGTCAGTGCTACCCTTGAAGTTGGATTTCTCCCTCAGAATAGTGTGTAATTCCTGCTATGAGTTATATTACATGCTTTTTTATCTCTTTGCCCCCTCTGAATTGGTGTTTTTTATTGCTGGGAGCTATTGCTTATGGTTTTCATTTAAAGGGGTTCAATGCAGTTTGGCTGGGTAAATACCACAGCAACACGTATGGCTGGAAGGGACAACTTCCTGGTTTTGTAGGCAACTTCATATAATCCAGGGAGAAATTACTGAGATTCATTTTAAAACTAGGTTCACCATACCCACCGTTCCCCTTGGGAAGCTGTTCCAGAATCGCACCTTACTGCTGGGAAGAAACCTTATTCTTGTTTCTAGCCTAAATATATTAGTGTCTAATTCCCCTCATCTGCCAGCGTATTTCAGGAAATATTTGCATTTGGTAGTCAGTAAATTCTTTTTGCCTCACTTACAGAATTTTCCTGAGAACCAAATAAGCAGAACTGGCTTGAAATGGAAACAAATGCTGTTAAGCGTGAAATGTAACTAATTAACCTGGACGCTGGACGTTTGACCTGCATTCTTTGTTTTAGTGTTTGCAGGAGTCATTAGTCACTCATACGATGGCACTTCTTATAAACATTTGAGAGCTGATCATTCAGGTCTTACATGCATACCTTTTACAGTGAATTTAGTAAGCGTTGTTGTGTAAGGAGGGAGTACCCAAGAGCCAGTTACTGTTGACTTTTTAGATTGTCTCTGGGCAACTTAGAGGCAGCTGAACTCTGGATTGTTAAGGGTGTTAGGACCCAGGTCCTGTTGCTGCGTAAGAGCCCTGTATCTTTTGCTCAAGGGAGTCGATCACATTGTTGTGTGTGTACAGGAACTGGACTCTCTTGGGATCTTTTGTGCTTCTTCCTGATCAGCTGCAGTATACAATGCACTATTTCTCTTACTCTGACTGTAACAGCTGTCTTTTTTTTTTTTTTTCATTCCTGTTTGTAGCTTGGCTTCTTGGAGGAGAAAGGATGGCTCAGGAGACAAATCAAACCCAGGTGCCTCTGTTGTGTACCACAGGCTGTGGATTTTATGGCAGCCCTCGGACCAATGGGATGTGCTCTGTTTGCTATAAGGAATTTCTACAGAGGCAACAAAGCAGTGACCGGATAAGCCCCCCAGGTAGAGGATTTTGGCCAACAAATCTCTTTTAAATGGATGCCTGGATACAAACTATGTTAAGAAGCTAGGACAGAGCTTATGGAACCTGGTACTGTCTGCCAATAGGTTTACTCCCTTCTGGAAAACTCAGGTCTTTGCCTTTTCATGTAGGCCCAAGCCTCTATATCAAATACCCAAGCCTTGGAGCTCTTCTGTTCCCTGTAAGGGGGTCAGTTGTATTCTTCGCAATCCCAGCTGTTTGTGAAGCACCGTCTCAGGCAGCACCTTCCAGTGAACTGTAAAACTTCATTTGCTCTCACAGCAGCCCAGATCTTTAGCTATTACCTGCTCCCTGAGCTGTGTGTTGCTGGAGACCGTGAGAAAGCTTTCCAAATTAGTGAAATTTTGCTTGAGAAGAATTTGGCCCTTAGGGTTGGGATAATTTTCTCATCTTAACAGAGTTGACAAGCAAAAGCAATGAAATAAAAGGTTTGGGTTTTGCAGCTAAACATAGTCGACACATCACTGAACTGAGAATCAGCTGTGTACACAGAAAGGATGCTCTTTCCATCATTAGCAGGATTTTCTCTTGTTGAGAGTCTGTGCAGCTGCCCGGTGTACAGACATTGAGAAATGCCTTCTAGAGATCTTCCATGGTTTTGCTCCTGAGCATAGTAATGGCTTTGCTTGAATTACTCACTCAAAATGTACGTTAGGAACACAGCTCTTCCTGACAAAGGATTAATCACAAAGGGTTTTTCTAAAGATCCTGACTTAGATCCCCAGCTGCCATAAAACAACATATTTCTATTGAAGCCAGTGCTTTTCAGCAGCTGTGGATCTGGTCTTTATACCTTGGAGGAGTTGCAAAGTAACATTGGATTCAAGGTATATTGGTACCTGCAGTGCCTTTATTTATACAGATAGGAGAACATTTATGCTGATGTGCAGTTTGCTTTGTGATGCTGAGAAACAGAAGAGGAGTCAAAGAACAGAGGTGTCAGGGGTGACGGAAGTCAGATTTTTACCAAATGTTCAAGAACACACAGTAATGGAACACACAGTGCTCAGCATGTAACTCCTGTGCGTAAACGCTCATCCATCAAAACCTGAGGAACTGGACAGACCTTTTGTAAACGAGGCCTTCAGTTCTCAGGAAGATGAGCAGCTAGTTTCAGAAGGATGTTCTGGTCCTGATACAAGGAGTCATTCCTGATCTAACGTAAGAAGAGCTGTACCCGGGCATGTTAAGGTCCATGCAGCCTGATGTCTTGTCCCTGTAGTGGCCTCTGCGCAAGTTCAAATGGGACAGTATAAGAATAGGGGAGTTGGGAGTGATCCCAACCTGGGTGCACCCTCCCAGCTTCTGGCAGGCAGCAGGAGATTAAAGGCTGCTGAAAGTGGACGGTTCTGCTTTTGTCATGGCTGTCAAGCAGCTGAGGAACCTGCTAACATTTCTAAGAGTTCACTAAGATTGCGATCTTGTTTCCTAGCAGCCACTGGTCCCAACAGCAGCCCTGTGGCTTCGGAGTCAATTGCAGGGCGGTGTGCAGAGGGAGACTCCACGCCTGAGGATGTGAAAGCCAGGTAGGGGCATAGTCTATGGGTGGATTTAATGCCCTGGGACACAACGGGTAGGCTCTCGTCCTTTGTTTGGCGAAGGGGTCCTGCAAAACAGGATGGGTCAGAGTTCACGGTGACCCTGGTTTAACTGGAGGCTTGAGATGTCGCTGCTTATGATGACTGCTGCATGGAGTTAGGTACCAAAGGGTCAGCAGTAAATTAAAATCTGTAGTAAAATAAGTAGCTTCCTGGTTCTCCTATGGCCATTGCACCTTGTCGGTGTGCTGTTTTGTTAGCTGTGTTAAACTGTTCAGCTTCAACCTGGTCCTAACATCACCTAGCACCTGGTGATGATCTAGTCTGGAAGCTACAAGAGCAGAATTGGAGACCTGTCATGTTTGATAGGAAGGAGGATATTCTCATTGAGCTCTACCGTTGCATTAAAGTCCTAATTCACAGCTGTTCCTCTGGCCCTGGATTTGCTTGCATGGGCTTTGAACTTTTGCTTTGGCTTTGAGATGTAACTGGTAGAAAACCAGTGGGTAGAAAAGGAAGCTGAGATCACTACAAGTTCATTCCATTTATGTCTGTAGAGAACGGTGACCTCAAGTCTCAGGGGAGTTGGCCTGTGGTACTGCTGAGCTCCCTCTGAGTGTAATGAAATTAACCTTATGGGCTGAAGATCTCTCCCACATAACTAATTACCAAAAGAAAATACTTGTGTTTGCTCTATGGTTTGTTTGTTTGTTGCAAATGCTCCCAGTGCTCAGACTCCTGTGACCCATCAGATGACGGCCATGAGCATATCTAGAGAAGAAAACAGCGATGAGACGGGATTCGTTAAGACAGAAGAAGCCTCATCAGCATCTTCCTCATCAGGTAGACTGATTGGTTTAGCCTTTGTAGGAGTCGAAATGACACCAATGTAGCAAGTCTGGTTTGAGCAGTAAGTAGAATGCTGGCCAGTAACTCCAGGGGAGAGCCGTTACCTACCAGCAATAAAGGTGCATCTAGCAAGACAGCTGAAGAGAAAACAGTTTGCCTGTTTCTGAAATAGGGAGGAGAGAAAATGCTCTGCCTGAGGGCAGGCCAACGGAGTTTGCTTTGTGGGCTGAGAACTGAGTGGCTGCCAGCCCTTGACTATCTGGCAGGAGGATAATCTTCCATGACGCCTATCTTTGTTGATGGCAGAAAGCCCAGAGCATCCCACAGCCTGCTGCATGGCTGTTGTTGGCTACGTGCTGCAGTTCTGTGCCATCTCTCTCGAGGGATGAGTCGAGCTGGATCCAGCGTAGTCTCGGGAGAGGAGTCGGGATTCCCGAGCTCTGTTTGTGACAGTGCCAAGTGGCTTGTGTGGCGGCTGCTGGCCTGCCTGTTGTCCTGTGTGGTCTGAGGCATACCTGCCCCTTGGAGGGGTAGCGTTAACATTGTCATTTTGTTTGCAAAGTGGATCCCATGGAGTGACAGAGGAGTGCAGGTGTTGTTGTCCAGCAGGGCACGTCCTCCGTTTGATCAGTTGCAGCGTGAGACTTGGTGTTGCAGTGGAGCTGTAACCAAGTGACACTTCATTGGAGACTCCCTCCCCTAGTTGTAACTCATAGTTTGCTTGTGTACAAACCTATAAAAACAGGGTTGTTAGTTGCTAAAAAGCAGGCTTTGGTCACTGACTGGACTGTGAGATTTGGGTTTAGTAACCACTTGCCTGCAAGCCCAGGAGACAACTTACGACAGGCAGGTGGGAGTTACTGTCTGGTGAAAGAGAGACTTGGAAGAGCCTGCCGCTCTTTTCTGATCGCCTGTGGGTTTTCTAGAAAGTTGTTCAGGGTCAGATCCACAAAGCTGTTTCTGCATCTGACTGTTAGTCTGCTTAACCTGATTTTCAGAGCAGTGTGCATTGCAGGTGTGTATCTTCTGGCAGTTGGGGCCCCTCTTTCCTGATGACTTCTCTAACCTGCTTAGGTGCTGTTGGAAATCCTGCTAAGCATCAGTGACCTTTAACAATCTGGCTTTCGAAGCTCGGTTTTCCTTCTGGTAGATTAGAGACAGTGATGAGTATCTGTGTAAAGCATTCTGAGACCTACATATGAGGAACACTTACATAAGAGTCAACAAAAATAATTACTAGTACCTTCTTACAAGGGGTTAACTTTACAAAGATTAACTCCAGGCTCAGATGTGCAATTGAGTTGCTGTACAGCAGAGCCAAGCTGTAGTGACTATCCTGATGCGTGCTTAACCTACGAGAAGCACCAGGTAGTTCTACTTAGCGTCACGTTACCTTACATATGCCTTAGCTAAACCTTACTAACTCCTTGGTGCTTCTGAGCCTTGCACTTAGGGAGTTGAAACAGGGAGAGAATATGAGGCTCTACAAGGTGTAGATCTTTACCTGTGGAACAAGGCAAATCTCATACCTTTGTGTACTGTCTTCAGGTTGTTAACTTTGGAGGCTAGGACGGTGTGCTGCTATGCGCACACGCAGGTGTCTGTCTGGCATGGACTCAGTCAGAATCAGCAGGGCCTCAGGCAGCTATTGGAATAAAACTAATGTGTTGCTTAACTTATCAAGAAGGATAACAGAGCTCTTGTGTCTGTTTCAGGTACCCTCTTTGAAATATCCCAGAACACAGTCGAGGACAAGATGGCTTCAGAAGAAATGAAACAGAAAAAGAACCGCTGCTTCACCTGCCGGAAGAAGATAGGGTTAACTGGTAAGATCCTAACTGTGGTGAAAATTGCTTGCAGTCTAAGTAGTTTGGTTTCCTAGCTCTGCAAGTAGATCGCCTTGTGTTGTGGTACTGCTTGGATTCACAGGGTTGGCATGGGTCAGTGTTTGGAGGTACTCCTCCAAAGAACACCTAGCTTCTGCAAGAGGTGCTGCTCCAAGGGAGGTGGGGGGGTGAGACTCTGATCTTTGAACAGTCCTATCTGAGGCAGTAGCATGGGGAATCTGATGCTCATCATCAGTTTCCCTACCAGCCCTTGTATTCAAAATTGCAGCATGGGATGGAGCAGTGCCTCTAGGGTTAGTTCTGCTGCCTGGCAAAAGGTGTTTGTAGACGCAAAGGCAGCAGTGAACACACTGTTGATCTAATTCTGCTCCTGTGGAAGTCAGTGGTAAAACTTTCATAATGGGGTCCTGAACTAAGTTAGACTAAAACTGAAATTCCCACTCCAAGGCTTATTCCATTTGTTAAAGTTCCTTGACTTCTGCCATTAACTTTATGATAGCAGGACCAGACTCTCGGTGTTAAGCTTGTAGAGCTGAAAAGTGAGAGGTGATGAGATAGTGTGTCAGGTGACTGGTATCAATGGGAAAAGCGGCCCTGGAAAGGAAATTCATGAAGCAGTTAACTTGGCTGTGTTTTGTTGATAAAAACATCATCCCCCTATTATTGACTCTAGCGTTTAGTTTTTCCCTGGAAAAAGTTAACCCTAGAGCTGTGCAGGTCACACTGTTCTAGCAAAGCGCTCTCCTCTTTAGCCTACTTAGCACATTCAGCAGCCAGCAATAGCGCATGCACTTCTGTTTTCATCGATGTAAGCTGCTTTGGCAGAGTCTGGCCCAGAAGGTTTGTCCAGCATGGCACTGTGCAGACCAAGCTTGCCTGGAGATTTTAGGGCACTGTCATAGAGTAAACGCGGGTTGATAAGCCTGGAATGGTAGGGAAGGCAGGATTCTCTGCACCTAGCCTTTGGCTCTGTAGGGAGGAGGTTTTTCTTTGATGGTTGGCTCTTAAGAGCTTAAAGTGAAAAATCTCCCCTCGTTTAGGAATCAACTTGCAAACAACTCCCATGAGGTCGGACAATTTAGGATAAGATGGGTTTTCCCAGACAGGTAAATTGGCACCTCGCAGCAATGTGTTTGCAGCCTTTACAGCCTGTAGATGTTATAGGAAGGAGCATGATCCACTGGGGGTGACACGGGGAGCCAGCTTGCTGTCCTGCAGCAAATCCCTTTCCTTCTCTGTATCTCAGTTTCCCCATGTCTTGTGGAATGGTAGCACTTCTCAACAGCATTGTCTTCAAGTGAAGTGATTAAATTATGCGTTTCTGAGGCCCTAGAAGCTTGAAAGCGATACTAATGAGGTGAAGATTTTGCTGCCTGCCACCTTATTGCTGGTCGGTCAGCTTTTTAAGCGCTGTTGTTGTGATGCCTTGGGAGTCAGGCTGGCTTGGAGGGCTCAGCTCCAGCTCAGGCTACCTGCTTGCTGCTGCCAGGGCCTGGGGAGCCTGGTCCGGATTAGAAATCTCTTGCTCTGCTGTCTCTGGCAATCACATTCCCTTATCTCTAGGGAATGTGGAGAACAACTGCTCTCGAGAGCTTTGCCCGTTGCTATGACAGCTGGGCCTGCCCCAGAGAACACGTGCACTCATGACAGTTTTCCTGAGAGCAGCTAAGCCAGAGGAAACCTAAGAGCTACCTAAAATCTTCCCCCGCACTCAAAGACTCACTTTCACCCATCCCAGCCAGCAGCCCCTCTTATTAGTCTGACCTTCTCTTTCTGCTTTAGTGGGGTTTCATGGCCTAGCAGGGAACAGTCCGGGCTCTGCTGCCTTTTCATCCGGCTGGACAGTGATTAACATGGCTTTCTCTCTTTGCCGTTCCTCCCTTCAGGGTTTGACTGCCGCTGTGGGAACCTGTTCTGTGCCATTCACCGGTACTCAGACATGCACGCCTGCCCGTACGACTATAAGGCAGAAGCAGCTGAGAAAATCCGTAAGGAGAACCCCATCATCATAGCTGAGAAGATCCAAAAGTTGTGAAGGAAGCTGAGCAGCTAGAACTACAGCCACCTGGCCTGGTGCTCCTCCCCTTCCTCCCAGCCCTCCTCTTCCTCCCAACCCCATCAGTGGCATGATGGGGCCTCCAGCAGCAGACGTGAATCTACACCGAGATGTGGAGAGTTCTCGCACCTTTTTGGCAGAGATCTGGGATTCCTTCTCTCCCTTCCTGTCTGTCCTAAAGCCGCTGCTCAATTGATCCATTTTTGACCAACTTCCAAAAGGAAAAGGGATCATCCCTGCTCCACCCACCGCCAGTGCTAAGACCTTTGGACTTGTCTTCCGCCAGGGTGGTTTGCACGGCGCGGGCAGCAGGGTTCCCCCAGGCAGCCTTTCCGTTCGACCTGCAGCTCAGAGTTCTGCAAACCTCCCAGGACTAGCCGCTAGTGTCCGTGAGCTGTCTCCATACTTTGTTCCCTCTGCTCCATTGTCTGTTCGTGGCAGATGTAGAAGCGGGAGCTGAGGAATCCCAGCGGCAAGTCTACCCTCTGCTCTGCCTGATCTCAGATGCGGGAAAGAGGATTCGGTAGTTTTAACACCCCAAATACCCCTCCCTTCCCTTCGAGAAGCTGTTGAAGCAGTTGGATCATTAAGCAGCAGAGTACTGACAGAGTAAAGTTACTTTGTGGCTTTTTAAACACCTCCAGCCACAAGTCAGGACTGTTAAGAAAGTACCACTCTGTGCCTCTTGCCTCTCACCGCTGGGAGGGAGCCAGCCTGTGGGGCTTGCTCCTTCCAAGGACTTGGCTGGCCTGAGGGACACCCTTGCACCAGCCTTCTGTGGGCTTCAAACGCTCCTCTCTCACCCCGTACATAACTGCTGGCCCCTTCCCAAGCGAGCCTGGATGTAGCACGGCTGCAGCCCGCGCTCTGACAGCCTGTTCTTTCCACTTAACTCTACCTTCTGCCTTATATGATTCTTTCTGATCAGGGTTGTGCACAAAGCTTAGACCATCAAACCTCTAACCTTTCCTGCACGCATGCAAGTCTCGGAGACCCGTTTCCTCCCCTGTAGGCTTTGCTGATATTCAGTGGGAGTCCTCCTTTCCTATGAGTGTATTCGCTCTGAAAGCTCGCTCAACCTTCTTGCCTTCTCATCTCGCTGCTTGTCCTTGTGGGGAGAGAGGCAGGGCCGGGTCCCCAGGGGACGTGGAAGTCACCATTGCTGCAATGAACTCCAGGGCGCTCCTAAAGCCAAGCAAAGGGATCTGGGGTGCATGGAAAGGCACATGGAGGGTCCTGGGAAACACCGAAAGCCACATGAAGGGCTCGGGGGCATGCAGAGAGCCACACGGAGGTCTCTGGAGCACCCCAAAAGGCACATGGATTACTCTGGGGCACTCCAGAAGCCAAATGGAGATCCCTAGTGCATCCTGAAAGACATTTGGAGGGCTCTGGGGTGCAAGGAAAGGCACATGGAAGGCTCCAGGGCTGTCCAAAAGGAAAACAGAGGACCCTGGTACTCCCTGAAAGGCACACAGAGGCTCCTGGGGCGCACTGAAAGCCAAACAGGGGTCTCCGAGGTCCTCAGAAAGGCACCTGGAGGGTCTGGGGTTCTTTTGTCTCGTTCCCAACCCTAACTTTAGCTTCTGGTCATGGGCCGAGCCTTGGAGAAGACCCTGATCACCAGCCCAGTTGGAAGAACAGCATGGGAGAAACCGTTTTGCAGCCTCGCTCTTCTTTTAGGGGCCCTTTTGCAGCCTCACCCCAGGGGGAGCTCTGGGCTTCATGTTTCACCTAACCCTTGACATCGGCCTCGGCTGAGCCTCAGCCACGGCCCCAGGGGAAAAAGGTCTCTGGGAGAAATCTTTTGGCAGGGTTTGGGTCTCCCCCTCCGCTGCCCCCAGAGGCTGCATCAGCCGCGGCTTTTCCTGAAGGACTTTTTTCCAGGCTCTTCTTCCCGGGCCGCTGCAAAGCTGAGAGCCAGGCCGGCGAGGCTGCGATGGCTCCGTCTCACAAGCAAAGAAATCCAGATGGGTCCCAGGAGAAAACATCAGCCTCTGCCCCGCTTTTAACCATCCCATGTGTTTTGAGCGTTTCCTTCAATATCAACTCGTATCCCAGCTGCAGAGAGCTGTTAAGTGCACCAGGCCAAACCATCAGCTGGTGGAGATCAGTGCAAAAATGCACCGTGGAGCTGGCAGGGCTGCAGCCAGGGGCCGTCTGCCTTTTCGGTGGGGGATGAAAGCCTGGGGGCTGCCCAGCACCCATGGCTTAGCAGCTCCAGAATTTGGGATCTCCTCTGCGGTGCGGTGGGGCGAACAAGCGACGTTGGCTTGGCCTGCTTGCCGTGCTGTCGGCGCATTAGCCCAGGCAAGTGGGGGCTCAGTTGGGTTTTGAGCTGGAGCAGTGGAAAACGAGCTTTGAACGCTCTCCCAGTTCACTCTTGCCTTAGGCTCTGCAGAAACCCCCCTTGATTTACATCGATGGATTTGGTTTTTTGGGAGAGTGCCCCTGAGCCCTTTCAGCACCACGGGGACAGGCTGCCCAGGCGGGGCCAGGAGAAATTGTAAGAACCCCTGTGTTACTGTTCGCACAAAGTTTGCAGACTCGGGAGGGACGGGGAAGCAGCCTGCTGCCGCACATGGAGCAGGAGAGCCCGGATGCGAAAAGGCAGCCGGCTGCTCCTCCACCACCTCCCTTTCTCTTTTATTTTTCTGAGTATGAAACCAGATCTGTAAATATTAATATATTCTAGTTTGCTTGGATGCTGTGGATGGTTCTTTATGCGCACAGCCGATTCCTGAGCTGGCGTTGGCGCTCAGAGCACAGATGAATGGGTATTTCTGCCCTCGAAATGCCCCTCTCGTCCCTCGCTGCAATCGCTCCCGGTTCCCTCTGCAAACTGCAAAGCCCCGCTCCCACCCTGTGCTGCCGGGCAAACCCAGGTGTCCCAGCTGCACCTTGCTTTGGCCAAGGCATGCTCTGTGCCTCAGTTTCCCCATGGCTAATAGGGGAGGCTTGGTGGTGAGCTGGTCTGGAGAAGGGCTTGTCCCCTGCGTCCCGCAGGGTACCCGTGCTGCAGCCCCCGGCACACAGCCTCCTCAAGCAAGGGTGACTGCTGCAGGGAAGCAACCGTGCAGCCTTGGGCACATGCCAGCCCTGCAGGGAGGAACACCGCAGCCCTGCAGCATGCAAGGGGGGAGGGGTGCAGCATGCCCTCCCTGTGAGCTGGGCGGGGGGGGTGCATCACAGCCCCCTGACACCATGCACAGCCTGTAAGGGAGGGGGAAAGGGGGCCATGGAGGGCGGGCAAGGGTGGGGGGGGGGTGCATTGCAGCTCCGGAGCATGCAGGGCCTGCAAGGCAGGGACACTGCTGCCCTGGGAGCACGCAGGGCCGGCGTGCAGGGGAACAGCAGCACTGCAGCCTCGGAGCATGCAGGATCGGGAGGGAGGGTGCATTGCAGCCCCAGGAGCATGCAAGAAGGGGGCGAGGGTGCATTGCAGCCCCTGGAGCATGCAGGACAGGGCAGGGAGGG